TTTTCAGAAATTCACCAAAAACGTTCGCTATATATGGCTGCCAAACAAATACTAAACAACTCAGCGTCTTCAAACTTGAAACATATGCTTCAAACAGATATCAATACTCGTGGTGATATGTCTTCTTAAATCATTAACAATTATTAATATTTGCGGTGCATACAAAATTATATGTCATTCTGTTTTCGCGATTCTACCGTCAGGGAGATGAGAACTGACCTTTTCAAATGGAGAATCAATCAATGTAGGAAATGAGCAGTAAAAAGAATTTGATGACGGGGCTACATTTTCTGGCTGGTTACGTTCCTAGCACTAACGAAAGATATTACTTTGAGAAAATTAATATCAATCAAACCAATAACTGAAAGTACTAACTATTTAAAGGTAGTCAATAAGTCATTTAGAAAAACGAAGATTATTTCAACCAATGGCTTGGTCTGAACTTCAAGTGTTAGGTTACCCGAAAAACTGAATGACAGAAAAGAAAACAACTAGTATATACGAAATGAACTGTGAGAATTGTGACAAAAAAATGTTGGTCAAACTAAGCGAATTATAGAAACATGTAACAAGGATAATATTTACACATTCAATATGTGTGTATATATTACTGGAGTTAAGATTAAACTGTTTTATCTCCCTCTTGGAGATGATCACTTGGTGATTGAAACACGTGGCGAGGTGTCAAAAAAACCGTTTGGTGTTGGTATCAAACTCCAGTAATATTCATGACTACAGTAAAGGTTCCAAACAGTGTATGACATTCACATATTCAGTTTAATAGACCAAAAAATTCAGTGACGCTCGTCGTCAAATGCTAGAAATTGTTCAGATCGGTTCAACAAACTTTCAGACGCATTTGAAATAACCAATACCATTAACCAATAATAAAATTACACAAGGAACACAAATCATTCAAATTATACTCATTTGTCACAGCTCTGGGTTATAGTTTTAGGATGTGTTAATTTTTGGGAAAGAAATGTTTTAGTTTTCTACTTATCCATGTTATTACGAAAAAATATAAGAATCTTCTATTGAAGAGAAGGAAGCAGTCAATTAAAAAAAATAACTCTATACAAAGGTGTGTAGATCATGCGGTTCTTACTAATTTTTTTGTATTTAGATAGAGAAGTAGAAAACCAAAACCTTTAGTTCAAGTCATCTCCTAATGACGCTAATTCAGACAAACGTCTTGAGATTTTCTGTCTTCATTCTGGCGCGGAAAAAGTGTTTTGAATGAAAAAAACTCGTCTTGATTTGCGTTTCGTAGTTGGAGTCATTAGAGCTGATGTAAAAAAGAAAATTTGAATACTGACAATGGCTAGAGCAAAGGCATATTAAATAGACCTCAAATGGTCAAATATAGCTCGCACAAGTTTCTCAACTTCTGAGAGTTGTCGTTCGTATGGGGGCGGCAGCTGATTAACGGAAAAACATATTTTAAACAGATTTTAAACAGAGCAATTCAGTTTTAATTTCGTTCAAGAAGTACCATTATTCGGAATAATACAACAATAAATGTTATGGTCTTTCATTCAAATTTGGAAACTTTTGAGGAACCGCAATATCTGATTTGATAATTGAATTGGAACCCCATTATCTGATTTGATAATTGAATTGTTATAGGTAATATTGGATTGGCTTCCGTGTTTTGCTGTGGTCTTCTTTGGTTATAATCTCCAAACGTGTCAACTGCAACTGCGGCAGTCATCTTCAGTGGCGCGGTCAAAGTAGTCTTCTTGACGTATCAACTGAAATGTCACTTGATACGTCAGCAATAACTCTCACCGCTATTTAAATTTTGCTAATAAAAATACCATTTTTGCACATCGGATAGACCACATTCTTCAATGTTCATCTTCTGCAGATACTTTTTAAATGGGCTCAATTATGGGTGGTTGGTATTCAGGAAGTGACAATTCTGTCAAATAACATGAAACAATGTAATTCAACTCTGAACTCTCATATTCACGGTATTATAGGTATATTGTGCTTGTTTCGATGCTTCATGAAATAAAACAATACCATTACTCTTTGTTCGCAATATAGTTTCACTGCTTAACAGATCCTATCATGTCGCCACGAACAAGACATAATGGAGATGTGGGTTTTCGTACAGTTGCAAAAATTCTATCATATTAAAAATAACATGCAAGAAATCCCACACCTTGTTTCCATATATAACCTTCGAAAAATGGTTAAATTGTTGTAATACAAAGTTGTAACTGTCCGTAGAATTGTTGGTATACCTCTTGTTGGACAAGCATCGACAATTTCATTATTCGTGGTACTACCGGCTTGATGAATAGTTGAGAAAATCGGTAATTTGGTGGTAGTGCGTCTGATTCATGACCCAATGGTATCTAACTGGTTCGATCCGATTACAACCAAATATTTTGGGTTGATTTTTTATGTTACATGGTAGACGGGTCTGTAAATAGCCATGCTTCCTAGGTGGCTCGTGGAGTTATTACTATCGCCTACCTAGATCACGAGGCTAATGACCGTAGCAGTCTATGCCGTTGACACCCGGAAAAATATCTGGAGGAGAGCAAAAATAATATGTGAATCATCGTCCACAGCTTACAAAATTCTATTCGAGGGTTCATTATTGATAATTGAAAATTTTTGATTATCTAATGAGCGTTCACTTTGAGTATTTCTTAATGATGATAGCAAATACGACGTTATGGTGAATAAATCAACCATAACTTATGGTTGGTTTATTTAAAGGTGACAAGGTTGTTATATATTATCCTCGATTATCTCCTTCAAAGCAATAAAATGGTGAAAAATTCAATACGAATACTAGTAGATCTAAAATTTTTCTCAGATATATGTCCATTTTTTGAACTCAAACTTTGTCCACAACTTATAAATTAAATTTAGTTACTTCTGTTACTTTTTGATTCCAGCTACAGAAATTAAATTTATGTATGGGAAGCATCTTTAGATATTTAATTTCGGATCGAAATTTTTTGACGTTTTCAATAATAATGACACACTTCCAAGAAAAAGAAGTAAAACGACAGCGTTTGAAACTCTAAAAAAAGCGATAGTCATCCGTTGATGTTTTTGTCAGATACAACTGATAAAATTCAATCCCTTCACATAAAAATCACCATTTTTTTTGTCTATTTCTTGACTAATCGTTCATCAGCAGACGCAATTTTGGGAAACTCTACTTGAGATATTGAATGGAAGGTATTGATTTAAAGGGCAAGAAATATTTTGACTTTCTACTTCTCCATCTTTATACAAAACAATTTGGGAATCTTCCGAAAACAGAAGAAAGCTGTAAATTTTCAAATAATGTATAGATAATGCAAAGAAGTAACCTTCAAACACCTAAAACAACACCTCGAAACAACTACTTGCATATAAACATTGAATTATACGAAAGAAAAAACACTTTCTAACACCCATTTCTATATAAACATCAAATTATACAAAAATACATTTATCTATTCAGTGTGTACTACAAACACTCGTTGTGGAATTGAATCAGAGTGCTACACAATTTGATTAATAATTTCAGTTTGTTTGGAAGTTTCTATTCTTCATATACCAATAGACGTGAAGGANTTTTGTTGAATATAATATTACTATTTTGAAAACCATCAGACATATTAGGTACATATTTAAAAAAAATGAAAAAAATTGCAAACAACCAAAATTTACGAGATAACACCAACACAAAACGACATGAAACAAAACAAGAAAAAATTGATCCTGTTACCCAACCAACCCTTTTTCAGAAAAATTATTGAATCACTAAACTAGTTAACTGAATAATAATAATATATTAATAGCTCTATCAGTGGTGCTAGGCTGGCTCAGGAATGCTTTGCTGGCTTTTTTTATTTTTGGACGAAATGAACGGCAACATGTTTCTATAAAAACCTTTTGCTAGTATCATGCTTCAAATTGTATTGTATATTTTTGTACATTACAGAATGTAGAGATGTATACAGTTAGCATCGATATCAGTATTTAAATTGTAAATTTCATTGTGAATTATTCGAGAGAGATTTTGTATATGCACAATTGATTTTATTGAAAATTTTGTGTTCTTGTTGTAGAGCAAATAACTTAGAGTTCAAGTAAGATAACTGTCCCAGTTGATACTGACTTCCACAACAATCAAAATTTTAAAGATTCATTAATTATGATTATTTATCGATTAGTAATTGCTTNAGCATAATATAACTCCTTTTGTACTTTCTAATGCTCTATAATTCAATTCGTTCTCACTTTCGATAATTGCTAAAATAAATTCGAATTATAAAGAGAAGACCATAGAAAAAACTATTTCGCATAGAATATTAAAAAAAAATTCGTTATGTGGGCACTGTTGTATATTATTAAATTAAACTGTTTTTTCTTAGAAGTAGTCCATGCAATCAATAGAAATTAAGATTCTGTTGAATATTATGATGATAACGTAAATTTAGGAGAATATTCAGAAAAGTGTCAGGTTATACTATCGTGCAGCCTGATGCAAAATGATATAGCGTTTGAATTTATGATAGTTAGTTCGTTTGTCATAATCACCCATGTATTAATGAAGAATAAATGAAAATCTATAAAAATCGTTTATCTAGTTTGAACAATGCTTTATGAGTATCAAGTCTATCACTTTCAAATTCTATTCAAGGTTATTATCAATATTCTTAATATACTTTGTAGACAACATAATTACTTTTCCTTCTAAAATATTTTTAAATTATTTTTGAATGAGTTAATCCAATTATCACTTACCTTGAATTCAACTTATTAACTCCGTCAATTGTTAGAGACTATTTTTTCCAGATGATTTCTATATAATAATAATAATCATAATAATTGTTTAAATTATCATCATATCAATTATATTTTCATTATTCTCACATGAAGTGAAGTGACGAAAACCTGCTTTAATTATTTCACTCGATATGTTTTTCAATATTTGAATGAAGATAATATTTTAATTCATATACCCAAAATGAAACACGAAATAATCTCTAATTGTGATTTATTAATATTCACAAGATAAAAGGCATCGGGTATATTAAATATAAAAGTCTTTACAAAAATATAGAGTTTTCACAAGGGAATGGGTTCTCATTCGTAAAATTTACGAGAGTCAAGATATGAGATACGAATTGAAAAATCCTACAAAAATAAATACGAAAACTATGAAAAAAATATTTACAAAATTTACAAATACAATTTTGATACTCATCTATACATGTCCGTATTTACATTCAGATAATTAGACTCCTCGCCAGTGAAACAGGAGTTGAAGTTCGGGTTAACACTCGACAACATTCACGCTCGGCAAATTCACAATCACGCGCACTTCCCGAACTATTTGACTATATCACAATCTCATCCTCACATTGCACTCACAGTCTATATTTTACGTAGTATCACAAAAATTCTGACATTGTTAGTTTCACTAACAGTCATTGTCATATGTGGATAGCCACCGTCCTCGCAGCGTTGTTGCCTCCTGGAGGGTTGGGGGCTTGGCCCCTGGCACTGTGCCGGTGTACGTGATGGTGCACATGAGGAGTCCTTACAGAGCCTGCGTGGCGCTGGTTGTTGGGCACGTCAGGCAGAGCGTACCGGAGTTTTTCCCAAAAGAGTTTATCGCCCCACTGTAAATACACGTTGGTTTTCAGATACAAACGGATATCCGGATCCAAGTCTTTGTGCAGCACTTCACCGAGCAGGACAACGATGAGTCTTTTCCTGCGGTCGCGCAAGACCTGATGATGGGCCGATTTGAATTCGAATCGGCACCACTCCGATTTTATAAAGTTCTCCGATAATATCATTATAGTCCTTTGGGAGGATTCTACCGCCTGCACTATGGTGTCGGCGAGGAACGCGCCCACGGGAAAGTCTCGGTAGTGTAAACACAGTTTATAATTGGGTTCCAATGCGGGGGCAAGCACTTCAGCCACCCACGCCTCGTCTTTAGAACTGTAACTCACGAACGCATCGAACAATTTTTCTCTGTCGTCTCTGTCCGAGTCGGTCGACCGCTGGAAGAGACGCACCCCAAATTTCGAGTGGAACCAGACGCGCACTTCTTGTCTATAAATGAAAAGGACTAATGTTAACACGACGATGATCGCGAACACCGCTAATGTTATGATCAAAAGCGGAAGGTAGTCCTGTATGATTTGGCGTTGTATAATAGTTTTCGTTGCTGTCAGGTTACCGTTGATGCTGTTGTCGATGTTGGCGACACCCGTGCAGGTTCCGTTCTCTTGAGTGATGAAGAAACCGGTATCGGCGGTGTCTAGGTATGCGTCCACGCTGTAGAAGTCGATATCGGTTGCGTTAAAAACGCATCTCACCGACGAGGCATCCTGCACAGCATCTCCACGTCGCATCCATTCTCGAAGTCGTTCGGTGAACTCGCAGTCGCATGACCAAGGATTGTGCGACAAAGTCATTTCGATGAGAGTCGTCGGAAGGTTCCACATGTTGTAAATTATCAGCCTGTTATGGTCCAGTCTCAGGACGCGCAGCTTTCTCAATCCGACGAACGTATTGTTATGTATGACGGTTATTCTGTTTTGTTGCAGGTGGATTTCGGTGAGGCTGTCTAGCCCTTCGAATTCGAAACCGTGCAACTCGGCGATGCGATTCCCGTCCAAATGTAACACTTCCAGCTCCTTCAAACCGTTGAACGTTCTATTCTGGATCAAGTCGATGTTGGAATTGTTCAGAAACAGAATTTTTAGTCGTTTTCTGCCGATGAATGCATGGCTGTTCAATGATCGCAGATCGTTACCGTCGAGATACAGCTGCGTCGCATCCATGGGTATCAATTCCGGAAGCTTTTTGACGTATCCTCCGGAGGAACAATCCACCACGTTGGCAGACCACGACTGGTCGTGGTAACAGGTGCAGTTGGTCGGACAAGTCATCTCGCAATCACAAGCGTCAAAGTCGCAGCAGTGACATAATGCGAAACAATGAGTATCATAGGTACACAGGAACTGATAAGGGGCTGCTTCTACGAGGGGTACGTATGTCGTACCTCGGTTGTACAGTAGCTGGCAATAGATGCTCTCCAAGTCTACGAGTTTCGGTTGGGTGCGAGCTCTGTTTCCCAGATTCATTTTCTGCAACCACTCCATAGTGCAGTCGCATTGATAAGGGTTGCCTCCGATATAGAATTCCGGAAGTTCTTTCTCCGGTGGCACCGCTGATATCCGCAATGCGTTCGGATCGAGGCTAGTGATTTTGTTTCCGAACAAGTCGACCCGGGTTAGATTGGGTTTTTTGAAGAATGTGTAAGACTGAACCTTCGAGATTATATTGTCGTTCAAAAACAACACCTCGACGCTGTTGGGAATTGCGCTGCCGGTAATTTCAGTCAGTTTGTTCGCACTCGCATCGAACGTGCTCAGCGATAACGTAGATTCGATTTCAAAGTAATTACCGAGTTCCTCGATTTGGTTCGAATGAATGTCTAGCCATTGTAAGCCAGTAGGTATTAAGGCGTAATCGAACCACTTCAGTTGATTGTCGGATATATTCAACCACACTAGACTGGGTAATTTAGCGAATAAATCCTCGATGTCGGTCAGGTAGTTCCCGTCGAGTCGAATGGCTTGCAGGTTGACGTTATTTTCAAAGGAGCCAGGCGCTACCTTTTGTATTTTATTTCGTGACAGGTTGAGTATTTTCAGCGCAGTCATTCTATCGAAAACTCCTTTTGTTATGTTGCCCAAATTGTTTTCGGTCAGTCGCAGGCCGTACATCTGCTTCAAGTCAGCGAAAGTTTCGTTCGTTATTGTGTCGATGTGGTTTTCGCCGAGATCGAGTGTTTTCAGGAGCGGAACGTTACTCAATACTTTCGGTACTTGCATGAGTTTATTGCCGTTCAAGTGCAAGTCTTGCAGACTCGAACAGTTTTTCAGAGCTTCCGAGTGTATCCAGGAAATTTTGTTGTTGTCGATTGATAGGAGAGAAAGGACGTAAAGGCCGCTGAACGTTTCGCTGTCTATCCTCATCAGTTTATTATTGGAGATGATTAGGGTGTGTAGGTTGTATAATGCAGAGAAAGTGCTTTCGGGTATGTTTTCTATGAAGTTGTCGTTGATTCGGAGTATTTGCAGGCTGTACAAGTCTCTGAAGACGGACTGTTCTAATTTTGATATCCTGTTGAAGGAAATGTCGAGCACGACGAGACGCACAAGTCCTGCGAAAGTTGCGGTGTTGATCCAATCTGCGGTTAGTTCATTATGGGATAAGTCTAGGACAAGAAGCTGCGTCAGTTCACTGAACAGTCCGGGTGCCAATACGTTTATTGAATTGTTCTGTAAGTACATTTCGTGTACCTCGCGAGTGTCTGAGAATAATTCCGGCGGTAAACTAACTAAACGGTTATCGGACAGCTTCAGAATGTTGAGAGAAGTCAGTCCTTCCAAAGCGCGATCAGCCAAGTAGCTCAGACCATTACCTTGCAGGTAGAGCTTCTGAAGACGCGACAGTCCGGAAAATTGACTCGGCGGTAACCTGTCGATATTATTTCGCGATAAGTCTAACAATCTTAGATTAGCACCGCATCTTTCCGATGGATTCGATGTGAATCGAAAACTTGTCACTTCGCGAAGACGATTTCTAGTCAGATTGAGCACCTCCAGGGCGTAGAGCGGGCACAGAACTCCTTCGGGCAAACTCCACATGTTATTTTCACCCAAATCTAGACGTTCTAATTGTCTAAGCTCCTCCGTGAAGGCATTCGGAGCCACATCTAGGGTCATCGCCGACCAGTCGGTGTTATGCGTCCGAACTGTGAGATTTCGGAGTTCTTTGAGTCCGCGGAACGCGCCGTCCGACAAATTACCGATTTTACAATACTCTATAGAGAGTTCGCGCAACTCAACAAGTGGCTTGAAACTGCCCGCACTCAACGAACTTTGGAAGAAAAGCGCGTCACTGCACTCGAGTCTCAACCGCACGGTGTGCTGGGGTTGTATTACGCTGAAGTTGGTGTTCTCTAGCTCGCTGTTGATGGTGCGCAGACGACACACCAGGGCTACGTCGTCCTCGGAGCCGCTGTCCACTACGACCCATTTGCACTCGTCGGGCGCCTGGTAGCGCAACGTTTTGCTGAGAGAAGCCGAGAGTACGCCGAAGATGGCTCCGAATAGCAACGCACATACCACCGTCGTGCCCATGACTCTCGATGTGCGCTACACCATTGTATACAGCAGAGGTCGTGATGTCTTGTCGCATGTCCGACTCACTAGCCGCTCGATGCTTGACTGCAGTTGTTCGTACAAGGCCACTAACTTCTCGCTTCTCGCCCTCCCCTGAACGTTCCCCCGCCCGGCCAGTGCTGCTGGTTCTCTCGACAAGACACCGAACGTCTGTCTTTCTCTCTCTCTTCGTCTTCTTCGGCCTAAGAATAGACCGGGTCGGCGGTATTCACAAAAAACTGTTAAGTCAAACCTCGTTTTTTCTACCTAAACGTCGGAGTTTTCTATCTGATCGCCCGTTGAAATCGCCGAAGAGATTCTCACACCTCTCATGTTTTGTTTTCGGACGAGAGACAGGCGGATCGTTATTTCGATGACGCTTCGATTGTATTTGAATGGAAGGCAGGAAGGGGTGGTTTTGATGATTCGTTAGATTGATGATTTATGAATTGGCGAGCATATTGAACGGAATAATTCTATGAACAGCCTCGGCAACGCAGTCCTGCAAAAATTAATATTTATGAAATATTCAGTATGTGATTGTTGTGATCTGTTTAGTTCACGAGGCGGTAGACGATTATTATCTAAGTATTCAGCTCAGCAATTTCAATCAATAATAAATTGATGGATGTAGCCGTTACTACGTGGTGGGATATCATTATGAAAAATGAGAATTTAAACGTTCTATGTTTTAATACCACTTGTATTTTTAACTAATTTTACTGCAGTTAGGTCCTACAAGGACATTTTCAAACGTTTGAAATGTTTGAAAATGTCGTATGACGAAACTGCAGTAACGTTAGTTACAGATACGCATGGGGAGTTTAATTGTTTGTTTATCATTAAATAATAATGATAATTAGGTAAATCAATGAATAATTGTCATATACATTACCCACAGTGATCAAATCAGCCCTAAGTTGGTAATCTCTTATTAGTCTTGCAGATGACAATATAAACTTTATATATCGTTGTGCAAGAATAAAATTGTTTGTATTGCAAATGTCAGTTTGCGTTCTATAAGCGCATCTAGAGGATAAGATATTTGAGTTTCGAAGGAAAAAATGTGAAACAAGAGTGGATATAGATAATTCCTTTATAATGAAGAAGAAAAATTCCCAAAAGCGTAGTTAGAGTCCAAAGTGTTGGAAAAGTTCGCAAAACTTGAAAATGAAAAAAATAATGTGGTACACTTGGATATCTAGATCATTCAATTTGATCATCTTTTGTATACCCATTAACAGAAAGAGCAGAATATAGAAGGTTGATTCTAGAATAATTTGGTAACACAGAATAACACGTCAAACCATAAACAAATTATATAATTCACAATGAAATAAAAAAGATCTGAAATACAAAGTATTTCGTGATTCGATAATCATGCTATCCCTTTTGTAGAGGCAAGTAAAAATTTAGGTTTATGGCTTGACACCGAACTTAGATTCACAAAACATGTTAATTATGTATGCAAGTCTTCTTTCAATATTTTGAGGCAGTTATATCCTAACAGACTTGTAATGTCTAAAAACTTGAAACTCAGCCTCTGTGAGTCTCTGATACTCTCAAGACTGGCCTACTGTGATCCCAATTTCGCAATTTTTGTACTTCCATGTTTGAAAAATACCTGTGCAACCGAAAAAAGCATTGATGAGTGCAATTATGTGCAGATTTATGATGTCAGCCAAACAGAAAACATTTTGATGCCACGTGAACTTTAAAGAGATCAGTATGTAAGTAGGTAAGAGTTTTACAATACATATTATTTTATTACATACAAACAGTTGGACATGTTGATGTAATATTAAATTAACTATTTTAATCGGCATTCAAGCGAAAATATGATGCACACTGCTTACTGTAATATAGTTGTTTTCTGTGCCGGTTCAATTGTTTCAAATTTTTGCAAGTTATATTTATTGGGGATTATTTCATTTTTGTTGTTGATTCGCGATACCGTAATTTTCAA